TTGTCTGACAAGCATTGTAAATGGGGGAGAGGGGGGAATAAACTAACAAACAATGTAACAGCGCACTTACTTGCTTTCTTGAAATTAAGAAACAGGTATTGAGATCAAGATTGTTTGAGAAACAACCATCTTGGGAAGAAAGCATGAACTTTGTCAATGTCAACATTTGAAGCAAAGCCATAATGAGGAGTAAGACAAGTACTGTTCTCCAGAAAAACACATAATATTTCCCGAAACATCAAGGACATGTGAGGTTGCCAAACCTGCTCTATTTATTATTCATGGTGGGAAGACAAAAACGACCTCCTTTTACCAAAAGGTGTCTGAAATACCATTAAATGGTCTCATCCAATGTTTCGCCCCACTAGGCCCCTTGCAATCTCCACCCAGGTCCCTTCACTCTCTCCAGGTCTGTGCAACTTCATAAAGTCCCCTAAAGTCCTTCGAGTCCTTAACCTCAGACCTCACAAACCCTTGCTGGCCACTTCTATCCCACCCTGCTGTCCCTGGGACCACCCTACCACTTCCAAGAAGATCAGAGTTAGCCAGGTATTAGCTTGAATTAGTTCTCCAAAAGGCCTTGTAACTGCCTCATCTAGCCACAGGTTTTTTTGTATCCTGAAACTGGCTTAATTTGGCAAGACAAGGAATGAAGATTGTCTTTGCTGTGTCGAGAGTGAGGACTGGCGGGTGCTGCAGAGCTGAAGACTGAGGGACAGAGTATGAGAGGCAAGAGAAGGACAGAGAGGGGATCTGGGAAGAGGATTGTTGCGCTAACCTTAACAAATTGAAGACGAATTAGGAAAAATATGGGGAATATGCAAAAAACATGAACCTACTTACAGGGAATTAATTATTGAAAAATGCAAAGCAATAAGTGCACGAATGAATTCTCCAGTAAAATTAATTACACAATGAGGCAGTTATTACAGCAAGAAAATCCAGTGATCAAGAAATGTGAAGACTCTAAGCAAAGAATGGGAGATTCCAAAAAAAGTATTTTCCGGACTTGATGGACTGGACATGAAACTTTTAGTTTGGGGGTTTTTTTCCCTTTCTTTTCCTTTAGGTCATTTCATAAGGGGTTGTGAAGCCCAGAGAGGAGAAGGCTCCAGGGATACCTTTCCGTGGTCTTTTTGACTTACGGGGAACGTACAGAAAAGATGGGGACAGACATTTTGGCAGGGCCTGTTGCAGTAGGATAAGGGGTAATTGTTTTAAATTAAAGATATTTGATTTAGATTAGACATAAAGAAGAATTTTTATACTGTGAAGGTGGTAAAACATTAGAACAGGTGCCCAGAGAAGTGGTGGATGTCCCACCCCTGGAAACATTCAAGGCTATTTTGGACAGGGCTCTGAGCCCCGCCCAAAATGGTGATGACCCTGCTCATTGCAGGGGGGTTGGACTAGATGACCTTTAAGGGTCCCTTCCAACCCAAACTATACTATGATTCTACAATAAGATAAAGTGATGTGGCAGGGGGTGTGAATTTTAGGGATGTGTGAATATTTCAGTTTGAAAATAAACACTTAGTTTCAAATAAATGCCTATATTTGCAGTCAAAAACTGTTCTCCAAATACTATGCAAACTTTCAAACTGCTCTGGAGCCTTTGTTCAAAGAGTTTACAAATCAATGAAAAATAACACCCGGTTCTTCTACAGCACGAATGCTGTGAGAGGTCAATGAATCATTGGTAAAAGGGACAAGAAACAATTAAGGTCAGGTTGGATGGGGCTCTGAGCAACCTGATCTAGCTGAAGATGTGCCTACTCACTGCAGGGGAGTTGGACTAGATGACCTTTAAAGGTCCCTTTCAACCCAAATCATTGTATGATTCTATGAATAGGAAAAGGATACACAGAAAGCCTATGGCTGCATAGTATTGGTGATAGCTACAGCCCAAAAACAGGTGCTGTGAAAGACAGAGCCTGAAAATCTCTTCTGGTCTCTGAAATATTTTGCCATGTCACTCTTTATAAGCAGTAGAGGGAAGAAGCCACACTGTTCACTGTTAGTGAGATCCAACACCCTTGCCCTGAACGCTTCTCACGGTGCTCAGACTCAGCTGTTTCAGTGCACCAACATTGTCTCTAGATCTCATCCAGAAACCTCTCCTGTCAAATAACACACTCATCACATGGAAGTGCCTGCTGCTTTGAAGACATATGAACTTAATTCTGTTCTGCGGTATCTATGCAATCCCTAATGATATCAGTATAGTAGAAATTGCAATTGGAAATTGGAGCAATTGGAAATGGAATGTGGCCAATTACCTTTGTGATATCCACAGTGTGATAGAATAATGGAAAAAAACCACTGAGTTTGTCTTCACTGTAGGGTAGCGTTTCAAATTTTATTTGAGATTTATTTTACTACCTTAAGGGAAGAGAAAAAAATACCTATTGGAAGTATGCATCTGGTACATGGACACAGGCTGAGAAACTATAACTTTCTCCCTGAAAATGATCACTAGCCCAGTGCAGAAAATTGTCAATATTTAATCCCTTGCTTTCCATCTGACACATACATAGCTCTAATTGAGAAGTAACATTCAAGCTTTTGAATGTGACCTTGTATGTTGATTAGGTTACTCCTCCAGCAGTTGAATCTCATCATTTATCTCAGTCCTTTACAGAGAACACTCTGCATAATGTGGAACATTCAGGTGTTTAAGGGAATGCAGCTGCCTGAGGGATCACTGGGAAAAATATAGACATTGCAATCCTGCTCCATGCAGAAACAGTAGTCAGAGAATCTCAAACAGGTTATTTTCTCTGTTATGTGGAGGGAAAATCATAACCAAAATGCAATCTCTGTGGAAGAGACCTGCTCCACACAGCAGTGCATGCCATATACCCTGTGAAGTTTACACATCAACACAAACGTCTGCCCCTCCAGGAACAGAGCACATGGGAAAGATGTAAGTAAGTTGATAGAAAAGCTGGTGAAGACATTATTTGCATTTAACTAGAAACATAGCAAGGCCTGATTTAGTAGTTATCTATGCGTGAAAGAGTATAAGATATGATTTTTATATATATGCTTATAGCTTATACTCTTTCTTGCATAGATAAGATCATATATATTATACAGCTATATTATAGATATAATTATATATTATATATTGTATATTATATTGTAATGCACTTAATTTATATATAATAAAATCTATATAATTATAGCTGCATTACAGTCATAATTATATGCATAAGCTGGGTGCTGAGACACAGCAGGACCTGCCACCTTGATTGTTGATGTTTATGTGGATTCCCTTCACTTGACGGAGGAGGAGCCTTGGTAGTTTTTGTATGCAGCACAGTGGCCCTGATAAGCACCGGGGAGTGTTACTCCTGATTTAAACTCAGGGGTGTGATAAACTGTGTAATCAAATCTCAGTTCTGCGTGTTGAATGTGAACTCTCAGCAAAAATAACTTGGAACAGATCGCTTTGCATGCAAGGGAAATTACAGAAAGCCTGTTGATGGGTCAGTCCTTTTTAGCATCTCCTCTCCCCTCTGAGAATTGTGACAAACTTAGATCCTGCCCAAGGCACAATTGTGTGAACAGAAGTTTGAAACCTAAAGCTCAAAAAACTTACAGTCATGACAATTTTGTTCGTAGATATGAAGTGACACCGTGAAATCTATTGATATGAGGGAATCATCTGCTAAAACTTTACCAAGCCCAAGGCATAACAGTTCTTCTAGAGAACAAGAGACTGTGGTTGTGTTCAATGGAAGAAGTTCAGAGTGGATACAAACATTTCCCCAGAGGTCAGCTGAGAATAGCCCATGATCTGATGTGTCACTGACTTACATTCAGGGTGGCTCCGGTCTAAGCAGGTGTAAGAAATTGCTCTCATGAATCACAACAAGCTGCTCAGATAAGACTGTTTTAAAACACTGCTTCTGTTTAACTGACTATCTGACCTAATGTTAGAATTAGCTTGGGGTAGGATAGAACTTGGGCCAAGGTGCAATACAATAGCTGCTCCATTTTGCTTGAGAATCCACAACTATCATTCCAGTGTTTGGCAACTCAGAATTAAATTAGCAAAAAGTATTGAAAGTTTATTATGTAAGTCCCCCACCGCCATGATTCTCACTTCAATCAATGCTACTAATTAAGCCAATTAAAACCTGAGCAATAAGGTTGAATGCAGATGTAGTGATGTTGCACAGGATGTTGGGAATATGAAAAGTAACTCAAAAAAGGAGCTTCTTCCTAACATAAGGCTGGGATCCTACACCACACCAATTTGTGCAGTTCAGGAATGTGACAAAGGAAATCTTATTCCTATTAATCTATCCTTATCTATAACTTCCTAACTCAAGCTGTGTACTTTAATGTCAAGCTGCAGGCTGTTGTTTAGCTGCTAAAGTTTTTTTATGTGGAGGGAACAGTTCATCCATCCTTCCTTTGCAATCACACAGTGGTGGTCTGGTGTCACGGGTTAACCTTGGCCGGATTCTAGGCATTCACTAAGTCACTCTGAGCTGGGAGAGGTCACACAGGCAAAACGGACTCAACATGGGGTTAATACTAAAATTTATTACTAACAGGATAAGATCTAAAGAGTGAGAAATAAAACAGTCTTAAACACACTTTCCACCCACCCCTCCTTCCTTCCATGTTCTCCCTCTTCCCCCTGCAGCAGTGCAGGGAGACAAGTCCACCCATGGAGCAACAGGTCTTCTAAATCTGCCGTTACTCTTCCATGGGCTGCAGGGGGACAGCCTGCTTCACCGTGGCCTTCTCCATGCGTTATAGGGTGGGGGGCACAGCTCTGAGTCCTTCCCCTGCTCCGTGGGGTCCCTCCCATGGGTAACAGTCCTTGACAGACCTCTCCAATGTGGGTCCACCCCTCAAGCAGTAGTTCTTCCATATCTACTGTCCCAAGGGTCACTTCCCGATGGGGTGCAGGGGGGGTCTCTGCACCCTGATGGTCCTTCCTGGGATGCAGTCCTTCATAGGGTGAGCAGTACCGATGTGGATCTCCCACAGGGCCATGAGTCCTACCCAGGAATAAACCACTCCGGCGTGGATTTTCCTCTCCACAGGCCACAAGTCTCTTGAAGGACTCTGCTCTCCTGGGCCTTCCACAGGGGTAACGTCCTTCTTCCATGAATCCATCTGCTCCAGCATTGGCTCGGCTGCACCGTGGTGGGCCACCCCAGCCCGGCCCGGCTCGACTCGGCCAGAGGCGAAGGGAGGGCAGTGCTCACTGGCAGGGGCCACTCTGCTGCCCTGGCCTAGCCCACGGGGCACCCCCCCCACCCCTCACAGTTCGCTTTGGGGGCTTTGGCACTGTTGGTGCTGTTCAGCTCCTCGGGCAGGACAGACTCCAGCACGGGCTGCTTGCAGGGTGAGCCCAGGGGGCTGCAGGGCCGCTCTCTGCAGGGCCACATGCCCCGGCCCTGGCCGCGGCCCCGGCCACCCCTTCACAGGGGCCACTGCTTGGCTCAGCCAGCACTGCCAAGAGGAGCATGGGTGGCTTGGCTGGGGCGCTGCTGCCTGCTCCGGGATAGGTGCCGATAGGCCTGGGCCTGGCTGCTGCCACCACCCCTAGGCCTTCCCCGTGGCAGGGGGAGGTGGCAGGGCCGCCCGGGAGCTTCGGCCAGCTCTCCCCTGGCTCGAAAATTCTTCTGCGCAACAAACTTGTTCTTAAATATGTTATCACAGAGGCATAATTATTGGCTCTCCCTTGGCCAGCAGCAGGACGTCCCTACTGTAGCCAGCTGTCATTGGCTTCACTGGGGGGGAAACTTCTAGCAGCTTCTAACCGAAGCCACCCTATGTACCTCCCCCGCTACCAAAAACCCAGTCGCTTCAACCCACGACATCTTGTCTGAAACATTCATGGTTAGCAAGGAGAAATGGGCACCTCCCCAAATGGGTTCATACCGTCCAAATATGTACCCCAAAACAAGTTGATAAAACTATCCCTGGATGTAATTAATGCGGTGGAAATTGAGACAACCACCTTAGACTGTCAGGCTGACTATTGGACAGCAGTTTAGTGAAATGAACTGCGTCCTGAAAGCTTGTACTCTGGGATCTGGGTGATGTGCTACCTCTCTTATTCTAGTTACAAAGCAGCAAACAGGGAAACTGAAAAATAAACCAAAAACTAGTTGGCTATACTTAGTAAGAATCTTTTCCTCTGGAGTTAATTTTACTGTCTTCCTGGAGATTGGGTTTGGTTCAGCCACCAATTCCTGTCACTTATTGCTGGGTTCATCCTGGTATCTTGCTCATTCTCAAATTCTGCACATGTAGATTCAGAAAGAAGCTTCTTAACGTTGATTCTTCACCCTTTCAGTTTGTCAGAGTGAGTTGGGAAGTGATTCCGATTTCTTTTCAAGCTCAATCCCAGTTCATGGCCATCTGCAAGTACATGGGAAATTTAACAATAAGAAGGGAGTTCAGGCATATTATGTTGGGTTTTGGCACATGCAGGCACGTTTCTAAAACATGGACTCCAGACTATTTGAATTGATCTGTAGCAAAACTTAGGAGTTATTTCTGCACCTCATCTGACAGGCTCATGTGCTTTCAGTGCTGATGAACCACTTCGTTCAATCCATTTTCTTGTGTCAGCAGACAGACTTTATCAAGTAAAAATAATGAGCTCCATTTCCTTGTTATTTCCTTCTTTTTTGTTTTGGGACAGGAATTATTTACACAAACTTTACATAACTATTATAGCATTACTTTAGCCTGGTTTACTCTATTAAATCATCTTCAAGGCATATCCAGGGATCATTTAATTTGCTGTGTTTTAAGATCAACTAATCAACTTTCAGGGAATATCCCTCTCTCCAGTGTCTGTCAGTCAGTGTGCGCTAACACAGTCTAGACACCTTGAGTAGTATTTCTGTCTCAATTCACACCCATTATAGGTGTCTACAGGAAGGTTAACATATGACCCAGGGACTCAACACAACTGCTCACAGACTTCAATACCTTTAGCGATGCACTAGAACATCTGAAACATCCACGTGGCTCTGGCAGATGTGACAGGGATCTAATGGGACACCCGTGCCTTTCTGCATCTCCCTCTGGGAGGCCTCCAAAGGTCCCCACTCAGTTGTACCTGCCTCAGTGAGTCTGGCACAGGATCACAATAACACAACTCTGAAGAGCAGTGAGTCTGCAGGCATTTTGTACCATCACAGCTCTATTTTACTGAGAGCTGAATCACAGCCGGCCACTAGGTTGCAGCTGAAGATAAATCACAGAAAAAAATCCATTTGCTAGAGCAACCTGTGCAGATTCTCACTGCTAGCAAGCTCTGGCCATGCACTTACAATTCAGTAAGTAATGATAAATAATGCACTGACAGGCACCATTACTTTACTTATTCATTTATGTAAAATTCATGTAAACATGTCCAAGTAGCACAATATTCTGTGCCAACCATTATTAGAAGGCATTATTTTCGTTTTGTAAGGTAACCAAGCTAGAATAAAGTAAATTATCAATTCGGTAAAGATGAGAGGTAAACAGTGGTCCCATTTAAAATCTATACCTTGGAGTATTATAAAGAAGGATGGCTCCAAATGTTTTCAAATGTACCTTTATTTCAGGTCATTATCTTCAATAAAGATGGGGATGGCTTTCACAAGAATACTCCGATATTTGGCTAGAACTGAGCTAGCTCTTTCAAAGTATTTTTAAAAAGCTGTTCACTTCTAGAAATGGTTTGAGTAATTGGATTTAAATATAGTAGCTATCTTTTTTTTTAATCTTAGTGTAGTCGCTAGAGCTACTGTACAGATATAAAAGAAAAAGTGACTCCTTTAAGCAGGTAATTTTCAATAGATAAGTAAAAAGGCAATTGAAAAAGAGCTAATGATGGTATAGGCAGTAGTTTGCAGCACCCATCTAATTTGAATGTTATCGAGTTTTTATAGACATTGCAAAAGAGATGAAAGTCGAGAAAATACGAAGAAGAAAGAAGACAGGACAGAATTATGTTTGTTGAGGCTTCAGACATCAGGTGCTCAGAACCTGGATACAATTTAACTCAATAGATAGATTAGAATATTTACAGCTTTTTTCAGGAAGTATCTATGAGACTTAGAAATAGCTTGATATGATAGAATAAAATCCATCTGGGTGAATATCATGTCCAAATGATAAGCTTAATTGATGAGTATGATGCTGTTATTTTTTAGAATGGCTGAAAAGAAGACAAGAATGCAAGTTGAGGAAAGGGGTGGAGATTAGGAATGTTGTTTTAGCAATACCAAGTTTAAACTGAGACATAAGTCAGGCTAAAGATATATTGACATCTTAATTGGGCATGGGAAATGGATCATGGCTCATTTATAGAAGAGTGTTTCATTTTTCTTTGCTTTGCATGAATGGAATCTCTCCCCCGCCTAGACGTCACAAACTTCCTACAATTCCAACGTTTTCTCTCTTTTCAGGCTTGCAAACAAAAAAATTATCATGACCAAAGGAAGATACATGACTTGACTGTGAAATATCAAGAATGGTTCTAGGGGATTTACTTGCATTTTTGGATACTTAGTTACTTTGAAAATTAGGTTACTCAAAACTACCAGCCTCCTTTAGAAATGTAGACTATGATGTTCTTCCGTTGGGCTACTCTTTTTGTAGAGCTAGTAATAGATAATAGGTTGGAATTTTTCACTCACACATTTTTCCTGTGTTGGTTCTCCTATGGCAGCTTTCATACGAAAGAACCCCAAACCCTTATGGGAAATAGGAGACCAACGTATGCACTAAAGGCTAAAGTGGGGAGAAAAATCTGCACTTCTGGTTTTTGGGTTTAGATTTGTCCATCACCAAACTTCTTCACTTCCATACACATGAACAGAGCAAAAGAGAAGACAGTTCTCAGTCAGTGATGATTTTATAGGATTTTAGGGGTCAAGACTAGCCATCAGTTGTAACCCTTTTATTTAAATGCCCTCTTTCAGGGATTGCAACAAAAAATCCTCCTCCTAGCCTGCTCAGAAAGCTGCCATCTGCTGTAAGACCTGGAACCACTGTCATAAGTTCCAGTATCCACTAAAAATGATGAAGATCAGAGAAAAAGAAAAATGTGCTTCTGGCTAAGACTGTTATATAAAAGGAAAGAATATGAAGAGATCTCTATAGTCAGCAAAGGAAGAAACAAGGTAAAGACTAACTTAGAATATTTTATTCGTTTACCCGTATCACCTCCTGTAAATTCTGACAAAATACAGTGCCCATCTTTCCTCTATATCTAATCAGAGAGGAGACAGACTCTATTTTTCATGTAATGTAATAGAACATACTGTAACTACCAGACAATAAAAGAAGATACGATAATGGCTATGCTTTTAAGAGCACACATTTTTGTTGTTGTCAGACACTGGTCGTATGGTAGCAAATTGAATGGAGCTGAAGGTAAAACATAATTCTGAAGAATCACCCAGCAGGCAGCACAAAGGGACATTGGCTTTGGGAAATATTGAAAAATCATGGCTGTATTAGCTTTATAGCTCCAACCCCCTCTAATTAGACATAAAGTTTTAATCAATATACTTCTTGAGATTAATCTCTAGACCTTTTCTTCTGGGCTTTCCTAAATGTGATATTAAACATTGAAACGTGTTTGGCATTTCCAAATAACTTGATATCACCATTACTGTTTGTGTAAGCAATTGAACAGCTTGCATATATGAAGTATGGCCAACTTCTCCATGAAAATAATGGGTGTAGGGATAAAAACGTAGGAAACATGGCCTACATGGACTATCCTGATACTTCATTTCATGTACAGGAAGTAGGAATATCTCCATTAGATAATATGTGCCTAATTTTCGGAATAGCCAATCATTCAGAAACCTAACCGAAGGCACTGACATCTGCAAATGGTTGTCACTTAGCAGTCAACCACTTACTTGAAATCAGAAAGGATTATCTGGAAATGTAGGACAAATCTGGAAATTGCTCCTGACGGATGAATAAATCTCTTTCTAAGACAAAACAGAAACGAATTATTATACAAAATTATATTTTGATGAACCTATTCCTGGAATAGAGATGATTAAAGTAACCAGAGTCTTGTTCACAGATATCATTTGCTGCACTATATAGAAACAAATGTCCTTCCAGTTAGGACCAAGTAACCAAGAAATCAAGAATGACAATGTTTTGATCTCAAGGAGTGTGTCTATGTCCTCCAACAGACCAGCACAGAAGTCTTCATCTCCTGTTCTGTTTCCACACCTTCAGGTCAGCCCACAGTCTCTCTTTGCAAGTACGCACAGCAAGACACAAACACAAGGTGGGATTCAGCTGACCAGTACAAAGGTAGGATTCAATTTGAGCTGAAGACAGATACATCTAACAGGTTACATTTAGGAGTTTGGTGCACTAGGGGATCAGCTCATTTCTGAGTACGTAATTGCTCGGTGGCATATGAGATGCAATAGAACACCTAAGACATTAACATAGAGCTAAGACATATCACGTTGCCATGTACAGGAAACCTGTGCCCATTTTGGACACAGCTGCAGCTGCAGCTGCAGTCCAGACACATTATTTTAGGGCATCCCAAATAGCACTGAACACATTTTTAGACAACTGAATTAGATTTGTGTTTGACTGATGGTTTGCATGACCCAGTCCATGTCTCATGTCAGATTACAGCCCCAAACACCTTTGCCCTAGGCTCACTTTAGGGTATTTTTTTTCCACTCAGAAGACTCTCAGCTTCATCACATGGCTCCTTCCGCTGGTATGTGAAACATCAACTTGCAGAGCACTCAGCACAGCAGGTAAAGGAGGGAGGACGGATTCTGCACTTAATGGTTCATCTTTCTACACAGCCATGTCAGCACTTTGCAGAAGTGAGGTTTCAATTTTTGCTTAAAATATGGATCCAGTAATGCTGCCAACTTCCATTTATCTCTGTCATTGAGCTTGTTGGCCACAGCAGGCGAGGACACAATTCAACAGCTACTTCTCTTCACTGGTGTTCAAACCACAGATCCCTTTATTTTAACACAGGATGCTGTTTATTCCAGCAAATGGCAACAAAGTTAGACTCAGTGGTTGGACTCAATGACCTTATAGGTATTTTCCAACCCAAATGATTCTATGATGAAAGCCATAGTATCAAAATTTGAGGAGAGACATTTAATGGAGTAGAGCAGTCCTATGAATTTCTTTCTCAGTGATGTGAACTTTCCTACTTAACTGTAAAGTATTAACATACATTGAGAGGGATAATTAATGCCCTGCAGAAAGCCCCTTTAAAGGACTTAGATCAAATAGTCTCCTGGCTATGCATCACCAAGGAAGAGGAATTACTAAGGTCTACAAAAAAGATCAGAGGAAAAAGATCTCTCTGTTAAGAGAGGACTAGAGGATCTTGGTCTACTCAGTGTAATAAAACAAACTGGGAAAAGAGACAGATGAGAATCCATTTGGGCAAAAAAATAAATCTGGGGAGTGAGAAGAAATACCTAATATAAAGGTCCTGACAGTCACCAAAGACAGGTTCAAAATAAGCTGCGGAAAATGTAAGCAACAGAGACACAAGGAGCTTTTCTTTTTAGGCGATGCTTTGTTGTGGTGGCACGGGTGCATTCCACACACACGTTTGCACGTTCTGGTGCAAACCATCTAGCCTTGCTTAGGAAGGACAAGAGGAATGTACTGGGGAAGGGAAAATAGGGGGTGAAGACATGACATGGAACTCTTCTCACCTGACAAAGCGCATTGCTGTAAGATTTACTTGTTGTCTTCATACACAGAGAAGAAAAATAGGCATTTAAGGTTTGATTCACCTGACTAGTTTCAAGCACTAATACTGGGATAAGAAACTGCAAACTAGACAACTGCACAGTGTCAGTGAAATATTCCTTGGGAAGTTTTGACGGAAGTTAGGTACAACATGTTTGTTTATGGGAGAGGGAGTGGGAGGTTGTAAGATTTTACTTTATTAATATTAGGCACATGTACATAGATATGAAAGCCTAAGTGAGATTTAGGCAAGATAATATATATCTAATGAAGCAAGCACTTTTTGGAGAACATTTCTGGAGGAGACAGGATAGCTAGTAAATTTTGCTTTCACTGAGAAATAGTTAGGTTTTTTAATATAAATATGGGCTCGTTTCAAGGTTGGTGGGTACAAGTAATTATATTTTATGGAGATAACAGATTAAACTTTCAACACCCATATCCAGTCAGCTGCAATGTAAGAGCTAATAATAACTGTCCTTGGGAAGATTCAAAGTAACATTCAGAAAAATCAGAAAAAGCCAGCACTGACATTTCTGAAATAGTCAAGAAAAAATAATTGCTGTGAATAAACAAACAAAAAGAAAGAATATCTTTGTGTTCCAGAAAGAGACAAAGCATAAGTCCAATTAAAGAAAAAAATCCTTTATAGGTCACCTCAGGAAGGAAGAGCTCACAGTCGCCAGTAAAATAAAAAATGCAGTAAGGAGAAAAAAAGTTTGGGAGGAAAAAAGTTTGAAAGGAAAACAGTATGAACTACAAATAAAAGCTGCCAAGTTAGAAAAAGAGCAATAATTGCTTTGCATGAGCTCCAACACTTTAATATCCAAAAGAGGGGAGTAATGATGGCAGAAATTGGTAAGAGAAGACAGATCACTTGAGTATGTTTGAAGATGAAAATCTGAAGTGATAGAAGACTTTCTGGCATAGCATTTAGACAAAGAAATAAATGACATTGACAATACACTGCTGAAGATGGCACTTAGAGGCAAGGAGCTTGGCAAGAAAGCACAAACTGTTTTGACTGATTACTTCTTTCTTTTTCTTAAATAAACATGCTTAAATTTGGTCAGAAACTAGTACTAGCTAGTGTCTGTGACAGTTCAGGTACTTAACATGCTCAAATTCATGGATTTTTCACCTTGGGATAAAAATATAAGTTGAAAAACTTTATTCAGCATCACAGATCAAGAAGACTCTCTTGCTTGAAGAAAAACTCTAATAGAATCATAGAATGGTTTGTGTTCAAAGAGACCTTAAAGCTCATCTGGTGTTCCTCGAGAGGACACCTTCCATTAGACCAGGTTGCTCAGGGCCCCATCCAATCTGCTCTTGAACACTTCCAAGGATTGGGTAGCCACATATTCTCCGGGCAACCTGCGTTAATGTCTCACCACACTACAAATAAATAATTTCTTTCTAATATGTAACCTAAATCTGTCCACTTTCAGTTTAATGTCATTCCCCCTTGTCCTATCACTAGCTACATATGTAAAAAGTTGCCCTCTCTCTTTTTTTACAAGCTCCCTTTAAGAATTTGAAGGCTGCAATGAGCTCTCTCTGAGTTTTCTCTTCTCCAGGTTGAATAACCCCAATTCTCTCAGCCTGTCTTTGTACAAGAGATGGTCCAGCCCCCTCATCAACTTTGTGTCCTCATCTGGACTTTAAAAGAATTAAACATCTAATGTCTCTTAGGACAAAAGGCATTTCAGCCTACAAGTATCTAATCCTTTCTCCGTTATTATAAAGGAAATCTGGACAGCTCTGTTACATATAAAAATCATCGACTGTCAATTGTATTTGCCTTAATATCTCACAAGAGGACTGACCATAAGATTGCAGAGATTACTTTGTCTGAGTGCAAGGAACCTCATGTTCTCCCCCATCATGCTGAAAGGCAAACTAAAAAATACCCTTTCCTTAGCATCCTGAGATTCCTAAGCTTCCAGTATGGAAGTCAGAGAAGTGCTTTTCTGTCGACTCATATGTTACACGTGGGGCAGCACAGCACATAAAGAAGAGGATGCTTTATTGCTTTGAGGTGCCTATGAATTTAAGCAGCATTGCTGTTTGTATCCAGCAGCACCTCAGAAAGTGAGATTAGCATGTCATTCCATGCTGACACCTTGTTTGCTTTTTGTATTAACACCTAGACATGTTTCAGGGCTCTACCTTGGTGGTCTACCAGTAATTGAGATTAAGGCACATTCTTTGCTGACAATTTCCTGATGAATTAACTTCTCTCTGCATTCATTCAGCCCCAGATTCAGATTTTGCTTCATTCCTCGGTTGGGACAGAACCCTTGTTATGATTTATTGCAATCCTTATTGTGATTAATAGAGCTCTACATTGTTCATCTCCTGGGCAATGAAAGCAGGATGCCTATTCAGCCCAGGGAGGAGCACGTGGTCTCACTTTCACATCAGCAGCCTCGATGAAGGCTTCTGCGTAATGTATTTTTGAAACCCTGTTTCTCACTGACAGGGATGAGCTGACTAGTTTTGTGCTTTAGATCTCTGGTTTTTAAGTGGTCTGAACTGCATCTTACATGTCGATTTTCCGATGCATCTTCAATGTATCAAGCCTATCATTTAAACATTAACATTTTGTATACTTCAATATTCAAGCTGCATAATATAAAAGAAAAATATGAAAACCGCTTGATAAAATGTCAGTGAAAAGTTGCTACTTATTAGGAAATAAAGAGGATGAGAATATGTGGGAAGCAAGAAGGTCAGAAAATAAGTAATGAGTTGGGGCTTTTCCCACACTGATAAGAAAGCCAGCTTGTACAAGATACACTTGCTTACTACTTTTAGAATACCACTGTCTGCAGTTACTTACTTTATACAGATTAAAATAATTTAATGCAAAACTCACCTGATAATTGTACAGAGAGTCAGATGATTGTATTCTAGGTGATACATTAACAAGAGAATTTTTTTGTGCTGAGTTGCCATTCCCTGGCACTGAACTTGTGATTAGACTGAGTCTCCTACTTCCAGATATCCTGAAAGCTTCACAAAACAGTCTCTGAACACAGATAAACTAGTTAATATTTTTTCCCACTACCTTGACCACCTGATTGGGTAAACATGAAATTTTGAATGTAAACTACCAACTAATTATCCGTCTAAATACTAATTTTATAAATGCCATATGACTAATAATTAATGCCTACTAATACTGCAATATATCCTATTTAAACACAGGTAATGCCCATTTATGTTTCCAATGAACAACATTTCTTGACTTCCTTTATTTCTAGCTCATGTCTGGAAGTCATTATGCACAGCCTAAAAAGCTGCACTAATCTTCTTGAAGCTGCAGTAGATACAAATAATTAGTATTTGCTTATGCAAAAGCTGACTGTCATGGAACTGCCCTGCAAGGGGTAGCTGACACCAGCAATTGTCAGTTCCTGAGGTACATCTCTCAGATGGGTGGGTATGAACAGTAAATGAGATGACTGGCACCACTCACTCCTTCCTCCTCAAGAGCTGTTTCCTACCCTGTGCTGAAAAATGGCTCTTAATTGACTTGAGTGAGATGTGGACTGAAAAGACGGAGAGGTTTTCTTTATAAAACCTGTTTCACTTTGCACTGGCATGGATTTAGGACTGCTCTAAAGATCATTTTTCATTTGTCAGCTAGAATGGGTAGTGGAGAGCTTGAGGGTCAGTGACCTCTGTAACCATGCCTGGATTCACAAAAGAATCAAGAACGACTGATTTCACACTGAAATCTGCCTTTCAGAGTGGGGATGGCTATGGGGCTGTGGCGGCATGTGCACTGCACCCTTGGTTCCAATGCCATCAGTGTCTCTTTCAACAGTTATTCAGTGAGTCTGCCAGGAGGAAGAAAACCTAATTACAGAGCAGTCCTTCGAACAGAAATGTGGTTCACATTTCTTGATGTGATTCCTTTTTATCTGCACTGTTGGCATTTTTAGAATGCAATATCTAAGTTTAAAAGGTTTTAGTTTAAGGAGTATTGTGTTACTATTTACTTTCCTCCTTCATCACATCAGCTTTTCATGTTCTTTTTATAGTTTTGGTAAACACTATCCTAGTGTCATATCCAAAAATGAATGCCAGAGTGTAATGAAAAGGAGTTTTATTTTAAGACTTCAGTGGAAGCAAAAGGGACCTGCAAAAGTCCCCGAGAGCACCAGAGGATCAGGATTTCTGTGTCTTTCAAGAGACAGGATCAAATACTCAGACCATTGGAGAGACCTCAAAAAATTGAAGGAACAGAGGGAAAGCCAAGGGAAAGCAATAAAAGTCAACATACTGAAGAAGAATGAAAGAAGAACGAAAAAAGCTTACTCTCAGACTCTCAAAGATTTGTGGATGCCTAGAATCCCTTAAAACTCCTGGTATTTCACTGGGCATTTAGGTAGCTACTGATGCTAAATACTTTAGACACTTACTGTGGATGTCCAGGCAGGACTATCCAGGGAAATGGTGGGATACACAATAGTCACCTCCATTAGAGACATAGGGGAAACCTTCAAGGTCAAGCAAGAAAATTCATAAACAGGCCTGGCTACACTGCTCCTGGGAGTGCTCTGTAGAAATAGCTGGCAGACACAGCGGCAGTTATGGAAAACCATGTCTCAAGTTGTTTCACCTAAGAACACTCTAGGTGTGGCACTGGAGGTTTGCAAGAGTAATTCTGGTAAGTTTGGGGCTTTTGGTGAAATGGGGATATGCACTGCTGTGGGTGAGGCTGGTTGTTTTGACTGCGTCTGTTTGCTCGTTAGTGCTAAAGAAAGGGGATTATTTTACTTACTGTTGAATGGGGGTCAGGAGAAATCCAAGATTTGGCAGATCACTTGCACAAGCCTGAAGTGAACACCAGCCGCTGCTCACCCCAGAAACACAAATTTCCTGAAGGCATGGACATGCAATAAATTTTCTAGCCAATGCATCAGTGGCTGTAAAAGGGTGTGAAGCTTCAAACTCAGAACACCCTGAAGAACAACATCCTCTCTTTTCTTCGGAACACAGCCCAGGCCTTTTGCCAAAGGTGTTGGTGCAGGTCTTCATGATCTTTGCAGAATTGTATAAAAGTTCTCAGATCAACAAAAGCTCTCAGATGATCCTACGCTGAAGGTGAAAAACAGAAATCTTTTCCTTCCAAACATCCAATTTTGAGTGTTAGTTTGGTTTGGTCATGCTGTCCAAAGTATAATAGATAATACATTTTAATTGGACAAATCCTCACCCGAAGAGTTCAATGATAGAAATAAATCTTTTTCTGGCTCTACTCTGTTTGACATAGGCTCAATTCTAATCTCATTTACAGAAGTCTGACCACGACTGGCTGGATTGAAATCGACTGCCTTTTCTAGTGTGAAAATAGGATCAGGCCCCATAGCTACAATTATGGATAAAAATGGTTGTATAAAACAAGGGTTTAGGTCGAAAGGAATTCTACTGACAAACTAAGACACAACCACCCTTTTCTGTAAGGGGAAAAAAAGGGCACTTTTTCAATATAGATAAGAAATAAATGTTTAGCAAACTTCTTTGCTTGGTTTGTGGCTGTAACCAGCCTTAAGCTTCAGAAGACAGCTGGGAAGAGGGAATTAGATGCCTCTGCAGACCTCTTTATTTTAATTACTTTCATGCCACACTGAGAAATTATGACCAAAACAATAAATTGAATTAAAATACATACACTAATAGATCTGGGGATACAGAAGGATAGTTACAGTTGTGTTTATCCATGAATGGAATTTATTGGTTTTTTTCCTTTTTGTTCATTTTTTTCGTTGTTTTTCTTTTAACTCTGATTAGGTGTCTTGGAGGCATGGGATCATCTGGCTTCTGAAAGTGAAAAGAAGGAAATAAAAAGCTTTTGCACTTTGCACTGTGTTCATTACAATGGTGTGCTCAAAGCTCTTCACCCCATATGCTCTCTTCTGAACCCAGCTCCACCATATAAAATGCTGTCATGCTGTGCTTTTTCCCTTCTCCTCCTCTTCCCCTTCCTCCTCCCCCTCCAATTTACCCACTGCCACTGATTCCATCGTCTTCCATCTCATCCGTCGATACAACTTGGCCACTAGTAGTGACTCCACTGTCCTTCTGTTTCATACCACCTGTGTTTTGACATTTCTTACCCTACCAGAT